CCCTAAACTTTTCATACGAAACATTTTTCTCTATCCCTACTAGTTTTCGAGATATTTGACTGGATCACTTCAGATGGTCCACCCTGTATAATATATATTTAATATAACATTCAACATATATAAAAGTTAACATATAAATTTATAATTACGAAAAATTATTTTAATCATTACATAAACATCACAACATATAGATGTTTGCTTTGAGGCTTTTGTTTGGTTTATGCATAATCTGAAACATATATGAAACCAAAAACAAATGACGATTTACATCATGAAACATATTGTATTAAATTTTTGCATCTAGTTTTAATAAAGTGCTAGTATAATAACCCTTTGAGGGGCACATTTTACAATATATCAGTTATAACCGTACTCGCGAGAAACGGCACAACTTCGTCGCGTGTTCTTCGTTCTCCTCTTGCACAAAAGTGTCTCTTTCCTCTCAGTAACCAAATTTTGCGACAGCTAGGCGGATGGTCGGCCAAGATCGTAATTTTTATTACGGAGTTGGGCGCCAGGTACGAGAGAGCGTGCCACTCTTTCCGAAATCTCCTTACTTTTGCCCATAACCAATTCGCGACGGCAGGAGTGGGTCGCAAGAGGAAATTTGTCGGAGGGCGAGAGAGATAGGATACAAGAATAACATACGGGAGGATGTAATAATAAAAACAAGTATATTTGGAAAAAGATGATAAAGTAAGACTAGTGACATCGGCGACGTAATTACAAGTGATCTTCGGAGCTTCGCTCCTTTGCGCTACTCTATACTCTTGGTACTCGCACAGAGTCGCCAACTTATCTCTAACGCCGAACGCCGGTCATACGCTACAGCACGAACCCCTCGGTTCCCCGCAGTAACTTCCGACGGTGTCAAACGCCCTTCTCAACTTTAAGAACTCGTACCCGCTGTACCACCAGCCTCCCGACACGCAACGTCAGCACGGCAAAAGTGCAGCGCGATTATAACAAGCGTCTCTATGCGCGCGACTCTGCTCGACCACGCAAATTCCGGAAACTGACTCTATTCGAGACGTAACAACTGGGAGTCAACTCTGCTCGACGATGCGGCAGTAAGCGTTCCAACGCAACGGTACATGACTCGATAACACACTTACAGCGAGCGTTTCTACGCAACACAACAATGCACGACAACGCGACTACAATAGGCGTTTTTACGCGATCCGACAATTTACGACAATACGCGACAACACAAAAACTTACAACTAATGACTCATGTGTGGCCAGGGGGCGACCGCGACTCGGCTCTCGATAATCTCTACACGACTCTAATTCTCCAAATGCGACAACCAAAGATCTCCCCTCGACTCAACTCTCGAAACGCGACAACTAAGCATTTCCACTGCTCGCGATTCCGCGGCTCTACACGGCGGCCATTACGCCGGTCTATTTTCACGATGCGAGCTCGCTTACGTGCGATCCACCCGGCAATGTACCCCGGTTGGCAGCTTTACACGTGCAACGCTCGTCTCACCCTCGACGTCCTGGTCCTCGCGTGTCCTCACGACATTTTCTTTCCCGCAGCTCTGGACAGAGGCTCTCCGGGTCGCGTTACCCGTCAGCAGCGGCCTCGTACTTCCCTTACATCTCCTAGGCTCGGCCACAGTAAGAGTGAGTCCCGGGAGCTCCCAGCGGATTCTCGCAGGCTGCTTAGCTTCCCCCCTTCTTCGGGGGGAGGTAGTCACCCTGATTGGCTTCCGCACGTCACGGTATCCGCGCATGCCGTGCAGGCCGCGCGGCCTTGAGTCCTGGCTAGTGCAAGCGCGCAATAGATGTCCCTGTCAAGGGTGGCGTCTCTGCTTACGGCCCCCGCACCTCCTGGCCTGGCGGGGGAGATCGGGATAGATTTTCCTCTTGCTCCTCGTCGGGGCTCTATACTCCCGACGGACGTCCGTCCGGCCCCTCATAAGGGTGGCCGGGAATTCTGGCCTCCTCCGATGCTCTGCAAGGGGTGCATGGTGGAAGTATGGTTCCTTTCGTATGCGACAGCGGTACGAGCAATGATATAAAATAATACAACCTGCTTGTCCGGGCTCTCGGATGTGCGTTTTTCTCTCTCAACTTCTTCGGTCTTCCTTCCAAGGGTGGCGGGTGAGACGGTACGCTGATACAATATTATTTTACAGCAGCTGCCGAGCGTGATCCATGGCGCGTCTACGCGTTTCTGATAAACTCGGTTATTACGCAAAAGAAATGCTAACACAAAAAGAGGAAAATTTGTAGAGTAAAATAGATGACGCGTTTTAACGCATGTTCACAAGTGCGCTCGCACGCGCGCTCGCGTGCGCACTCGCTAGGGATGCGACATCGGAGATCGATATTCTAGATTATCGATATCGGTCTCATCGATATTTCGAGATTTTATCGATATCGGTGTCATCGATATTTTCCATATCGATATCGAACATACGAATATCGGACCTAAAATATCGAACTCACCAGATGAATTTCTAACCATAAGATGTGTTAATTCCGTAACGGCGCGGCGCGGCGCAACTCCCGTGACTGGCGGGTCGGTCTGATACTGTACTCTCAGTGTACACTCGTTGTAATTGATTACATATGTTGCGGCACATTTTGGAATCCGCGACCTTTCTGTGTCCATTCGTATGTTTTCTGGATTATGGTATGTGGTATTTTG